TGAAACAATTAGCAAAAGAGAACAGCAAGAAATTCCTAAACTGTGGAGTGCAGTGCAACCCAAGTGTCGAGAGCCCAAGTCACTCACCCCCAGTGCTCTGTGACCTTGCACAAGTCATGTGCACTCTCTGAACCTCAACTGACTCACCTGTAAGATGGACATAGTAATGGTATTTACCAAGGAGAATATATGACATTAACAAAAGGAAAGAATTCTTTTTTTGTTTTTATGTGTTTTTATAATGTATTTTATTGATTATGCCATTACAGTTGTCCTATTTCCCCTCCTATTCCCCTCCACCCTGCACACCCCCTCCCACCCACATTCCCCCCTTTAGTTCATGCCTATGTGTCATAAGTTCTTTAGCTTCTACATTTCCTACACTACTTACCCTCCCCCTGTCTATTTTCTCCCCACCATCTATGCTACTTATTCTCTTTACTTTCTCCTCCTCCCACTCCCCTGTTGCTAACCATGTGATCTTCATTTCTATGGTTCTGCTCCTGATCTAGCTGTCCGCTTAGTTTGCTTTTGTTTTAGGTGTGGTTGTTAATAACTGTGAGTTTGCTGTCCTTTCACTGTTCATCTTTTTTATCTTCTTTTTCTTAGATAAGTCTCTTTAGCATTTCATGTAATAATGGCTTGACGATGACGAACTCCTTGAACTTGACCTTATCTGAGAAGCAATTTATCTGCCCTTCCATTCTAAATGAAAGTTTTGTTGGATAGAGCAATCTTGGTTGTAGGTCTTTGGATTTCATGACTTGGAATACTTCTTTCCAGCCCCTTCTTGCCTGTAAGGTCTCTTTTGAGAAATCAGCTGACAGTCTGATGGGAACGCCTTTGTAGGTGACTGTCCCCCTATCTCTTGCTGCTTCTAGGATTCTCTCCTTCATTTTAATCTTGGCTAATATAATGATGATGTGCCTTGGTGTGTTCCTTCTTGGATCCCATTCTTTGGGACTCTCTGAGCCTCCTGGATTTCCTGGAAGTCTATTGCCTTTGCCAGATTGGGGAAGTTCTCCTTTATTATTGGTGGAAAATAAGTTTTCCACTTGTTGGTCTTCCTCTTCCCCTTCTGGTACCCCTATAATTCGGATGTTGGAACATTTAAAGATGTCCTGGAGGTTCCTAAGCCTCCCCTCATTTTTTTGAATTCTTTTTTCTTCATATTTTTTGTTTGGTCATTTTTTTCTTTCTTCTGGTCCACTCCATTGATTTCAGTCCCAGTTTTCTTTCCATCACTATTGGTTCCCTGTGCATTTTCCTTTATTTTGCTTAGTGTAGCCTTCACTTTTTCATCTAATTTGTGACCAAAATCAATCAGTTCTGTGAGCATCCTGATCACCGGTGTCTTGAAATGTGCATCTGATAGTCTGGCTATCTGTTCATAGCTTAAAAGTATTGGCTCTGGGGCTTTGATTTGTTCTTCTGTTTGAGCCATAATTTTTTTGGTCTGGTTGTGCCTGTTACGTATGAGGGGCGGAGCCTGAGGTGTTCACCAGGGTGGGGCAACCTAGTCTCTGGGTTATGACCTGTATGTGGGGGCGGAGTCAGAGAGGGAGCAATGGCGCTTGTTCCGCTCTCTCTCGGATTTCAGTTCCCTCCCCTGCTTCCCACAAGCAAATTGGGCCCTTCTGGTGCTGGTTCCCAGGTGGGTGAGCTTGTGTATGTTCTAGGACCCTGTGGGTCTCTCCAACGAACCCTCCTGTGAGGCTGGTACTCTCTCCTGACACCTTTTCAATCGGTGCTTTTAGACTTTATTTCCTGTGGCTGGGGACCTGGGTTGCACAGTCTGTCTTGCTGCCCATTTTTGCCTGGTTCATCTGCATGTGAATGTGTGACTGCGGTCAGCCAACAGCTTTGTGCACCTCACTGGGTCTGCTTGTTTCCTCCCCGCACCCGGGGTTTGCTAGGCCTGCACTGCCTGCGTGCCTAGGTCTGCCAGCCACAACCCCTCATACCAGTGTGCGTGAATGGTTGTCGGACTTCGGTACAGTTCAATTTTTTGTCTGCTCTGTTTGTGCTTTTGTTTTTAAATCCTTGTTGTCCTTAATGTTGGTTGTGCGAGGAGGCATGGTATTTCCACTTACGCCTCCATCTTGACCAGAAGTCCAAGAATTCTAAAATGAGACACAGAACACTACAGACCATATAGGGAAAGAGTGAAACATGACTACATTAAAATTTTTAATTTTTGAAAGACAAGACAGCATTAACAAAGTAAAACAACAAATCACAGAGAGAAGACCTAACTCGAGGGTCCAGTATCCCAAATATGTAAACATTTTCTATGGATCAATAAGAAAAACATGACTAGGCCCAATAGGAAGATGGTGCAGAAATATCCACAGGCAGTGCATAAAGGAAAAAATCTGAATGGCATGGGGAAAAGATGCTCCATATCGCTAATTCAGGAAAGTCAAAACTAAAACCACAAGGATATTGCACACATAGCTATCAGCAAAAATACATAAATGAATACAATCTGAAAGTATCCAAAGTTGATAAGTAGAAATGGTACTTCAACATGTCAGCAGAGTACACATTCATATATCTTTAAAGAACAATTTGACTAAATCTCCTCCAGTTCAATATATAATATGCTACAAAGTCAGCAATTCCATTCCTATACCCAAGGAGATATGTACAAATGTGTTCAATATAGCACACTGTTAAAAAAAAAAAAAACCTAACCATTCCCTAATGTAGATGCATAAATTGTGGCTCATTTATGTAATAAAATATCATACAGCAAATAAAATTAATAAGAGCAGTAGTTCTCAAACTTTATGGCACATCAGAATCACCAGGAAGACTTGGTAAAAACAAAAAAATGTCGCATCCTACCCCTAGAGTTTCTGATTTAGTGGGTCTTGAATGGGTCTGAAATTTTGCATTTCTAACAAGTTCTAGGGTGTTACTGATGTTGTTTACTGGTCCAGAGATCACACTTTGAGAACCACTAAGCTAGTTATGTGTTTTAACACAGTTAAATCTTGAAACCCCCATACTATTAAAAAGATAAAAGCACGCCCTGGCTGGTGTAGCTTGGTGGATTGAGCACAGACCTGTGAACCAAGGGGTCAGTTTGATTCCCATTCAGGGCAGATGCCCAGGTTGCAGGCCAAGTCCCCAGTAGGGGACACATGAGAGGCAACCACACGTTGATGTTTCTCTCCCTCTCTTTCTCCTTCCCTTTCCCTCTAAATAAATAAAATCTTAGAAAAAAATAAAAGCAAACTGTGAAAGGGTACATAAAATATATCTAAACATATTAAATAATAATATACAATTAGGGAGAGATATATATACCTTCCTAATGAAAGTACAGAGTGATTATCTCTGAGAAGGGAGGGGAAGAAAATGGGAGGAGATTCTTATTAGTGACTATAAAGGTCTGTGTAGTATTTTATGAATTCTAATGTATGTTTAAAATGTTAAGAAAATGTTTAAGTGTAAATTACATAGTATCTCTCCCATGGAGTATTTGCAAGAGTGAATGAGATCATGTGCAATTTCTGGGTGGATAAAGATAGCAAAAGGAAATTGAGTCACAGAATTTCAGCCTCTGTATATGTCAACAAAAATAATTTCAAAGTTTAAAGATATCAAAAATTAAGAGAATCCATCAATCCAACTAAATAATCAAGAGGGTACAAATTTATGGCATAAGCATCAAAGAGGGGGTAACCAAAGAGGGGGAAAAAAAGAGAAAATTCTGAACTGAGTCAAGTGTAGTTGACCTACTCTCAAGAGTATTCCGGGAAAGTAGGTGAATCCACAAAATCCTGATAATTCTCATCTAGAGCAAGTGAACACAACAACCTGGGGGAAAGAAAGGAAAAATTCCTGGGAACCTCCAGTAGCTCTCAGAAGATGTGAAAATAACCACCTGTTCCCATTTTCCCAGGCGCCGTGATGAGTTATGGTAAAGGGTCCAAAAGCCCAGCATATCTACCCATAGGCATCGGACGCCTCCTGCACTGTTAACAAGAAGAACTGCACAATAAAGTGCATCCCTATTTCCCTCCTTCAAGTATTTACCTGTTTGCAATTACACACTCAAGTGTAATTATTCACCTAATTCTCTCCCTCCACTAGACAGTAATCACCAAGACAGCAGAGATGGGTGTGCACTGTTAGTGAAGGAGTGAATATATGAGTAGATGTCAAGGAAACCTGACTTCCTCTAGTGTTCGAATTCCACAGGCACTATTTTTCGCTTGTCACAAGGAGAAAAACTAGACCCCTTGGGGTTGGACGACTCATAAAAGAGCCTACCTGATTCATATAGCCATAGGTGTGATAAATCAAGTGTATTTACAACGAATTCCACTCTCTGTGACAAATGTTCCATAGGTTAAATAAATAATACAGCATTATACATGCTTCGCCGTCAACATTTAACATTCTGGGAAATTTATTTTTGGCATTGAGTATTCCAAGAAAAACTTATTCAGGAATTACTTATTCAGGAAGAATCTGTGGCTATATCACCGAAGTCTTTTGCCTCTTATCAGTGAAACGAATAGGGTACCTACACAGCCCACTGAAATGTAAATTCAAATAAAACATTTTCTCTACCCCTCTGCTCTCTTTGCCCCTTGTAATCCGGAAATTACAGGAAAAAACTCTTGTGTGTGTACACACACACACACACACACACACACACATCTCCAATACACACGTCTAAAGTGTTCTTTCCTTGTTTAGTTTTATGCAAGATTAAATTAAAATATTTTAAAGTTTATATGATGTATTTTCACAGAAAGGAAGGAAGGCTCTCTGAAAATTAGAAGTGCAAAGCCCTTGGAGCTGGGGGAGACCGGGCCGAGGACGCCGTTACTAGGCAACTCCTAGCGCTCTAACTGCCGCTAGGGAGCCACTTCCCCGCCCTAATTGCTAAGGAAATCGACGCCCCAACTCAGCCCTGCCGTAAACTCGCGCGCTTTTGCGACATTGCCGCGCCTATCGCTGCGTGCGCGCCCTCTGCCCCTACTCTCCGCCCCAACCGCCATTGCCTCGTGCCCGCGCCGGTCGGTTGGTGGCGCCTTTGTCCTACGGCGGGCAGGTGGGCTAAGGCAGAGGCGGCGGCGGCGTTCCTGAGGCGAAGGAGCGTCCGGGAGGCCGCCGCACTGGTAGCGGTGAGTGCCGGGAAGCGGTGGCCGTCCACCGCGGCTTGGGACTAACGGGCAGGCCCGGAGGGTAACCGGGGCCGGATGGGGAGGCTGAAGCTGGAGGGCCCACTGGACGCGCGACCGCGGCTCTCTCCGGGTGCGCGCGGGACTGCGCATGCCCGGTGCGGGGCGCGGCCTCCTCCGGCTCTGGCCTGGCCCAGGCCCGGCCATTCCGGGAGGCCAGTGGTGGACTCAGGTTCCGCGGCGCCGCACCGCAGCCGCCTGTCCGTGCGCGACTCGCCGACTATAGCCCCCAGGCTTCTCTGAATAGTAGGGCTGCACACCTCTCCGCCCTTCTCAGAACGGTGAGGGCGCTCGCCTGCGCGTCCTCGGCGAGTCGGTGGCGCAGTCGGGATTCGAACCCGGGTCGCACCTGGGCACCTCCCTCGGCGTTCTCCGTGGCGTACAGCGCGGTGCGGCGAGCCTAGCGCTGTCCGGGATCGCCGGTGCCTCCCGGCCCCTTGATAGCATCCTCGAGGCGTCTCTTTGTTATGTGACACCCCCGTCTATTTTATGACCCGGGCCCCAGAGAACGGGGAAGAAACTGCTGAGGTTACCCTGGAAATTAAGCGCCCCAAACCGCTTTCTCTCCTGTCTCGAGACCACGGCACTTTCCACGACGGGACAACCCGCCGAGGGTTTTTCTGTAGGACGACGTTCCCCAGATTCCAGGCTCTCGCGTTGCCTTTTTATGTCCGGGTCATCTATCTGTACTGCTGCTTATCTACCAAATGTTATTTTTTTTTCTTTAAACTGATTCTCTTCTCCCCTCCCCTTCTGAAATATATTGTTTAAGATGGGAACGTAAATCACAACCGTATAATGGAAGCCAGTTACTTTTCTAATACTCATAAAAAATAAATACCTATCTATTAAAATAAACAATGCGTCCTTGTTCCTCCTGAAGTTATTCTGCATTCAACGCTCTGGGAAACGCTGCCCTAGGAGTGTGGGGTTAATTGTCCTGGCTTTCACTCTGCACAGAATTTTCCCCTGAGGCATGGCAGATTCTATGAAATGCTCCAGGATCTTGGGGCATGGCAGTGAACATTACAAGCCTTCTGGTTGTAAACTGATTCTCATTATTGACCTAAAAGTGATATTCCGGGGCACTGCAGGAGCAGTTCCCTCAACCTGGTGGGCCGCCTCGGTTTTCTTACAGCATTGTGGTGTGGCAGGCACCTGAGGGTTCATAAAAAGATGTTTTTGCAAACGTCAATGGAGCAGTTTGGGGTTTGAGAATTCGAGATTTAATATTTTCTGTATGAGCCGGTCGGTGTGAAAACTAACTTTCAGCGTGGACTTTTTCAAACCAGTAGAGCCCAAACATGGCATCGTGGGGATTGGAGGTCACTGGGCTATTGCTAGCATCGGTTTCTTCCTTCGTTCTGGTTTCTTGGCCTTTCTTTTAGCTCTAGATAGTCTTTGAAATGTCTGACAAAAATCTTTTCACCTAAATCATACAAACAGCGCTTTTCCTTGTAGAACGTGCCAGAGAAACCATATTGCAAGGCCCAGTGGGAGGAATTTTTTGAGGCGCAGGTTGTTACTCAAGGTCCCATGCCTCTAACACCACACGTTTAAAGGAGGCATTGATAAATTAACTTACTTATCAGCTAACAGTCTGTTCTATTTGTAGCCTGTTCATAACCTCTGTTTTTGGGTGTGAGAGAGCACGTTTACTTTAATCCATTGAAAGGTTACTCTGAGAAGTCAGCTCAGGCTGTTTAAGGGGTTTTTTCCTCAGCCTGTGTTAAAAAAAATCCATATTCCTTGGGATTACTTCCGTGTGAGCACGATGTAGAACTTACACAAGGCTAAGGCAATTTTCTTCACATTTCTAAGTAGAAAAGAAATAAGAATTTGATTTTACTCAAGAGTCAGTTTCAGAACTTCAGCAAATGGAGCCTCATCTACCCGTGCACAAAAGCTAAGAATAAACGGTTTTTGGAAAAGCTTTAGAAGTCGAATGAGGAAAGGTGCCTAATGGCTTCCTTTTAAATAACGGTTGCAAGCATCTCCTCTCTGCGGCCTGCAGATGGCAGTGCCTTTGCGTGGCTTGTTAGGGCCTTGAGAGTTAATTACATTCAGTTGTGCTTTTAGGAGTAGAAAACCTGCCCTGGCTGGGTAGCTCAGTTGGTTAGAGCATCATCCCAATACACCCAGGTTGCCAGTTTGATCCCTGGTCAGGGTACTTATAAGAATCAGCCAGTGAGTGCATGTGTGGGTGAAACAAACAAGTTGATGTTTCTCTCTATAAAATCAATCAATAGAATTTTTTTTTAAAGAATAAAGAATGGTAAACCTTTGGAGGAAATGTATTTGCTATTTTCTTTCCTTCTGCAGTTTTTGTTTTTGACTCCCATGAACAATGAAGTGCCTGCTTCTAAACTCATTGTTACTCTCAGTGGTGATGATAACGTGTAATCAGCAGTGCATATGGTTTGCAAAAGCAGGTTCACAAATACCAACTCATTTGCTCCTGTCTATCATCTTGTGAGATAGGTAGTCTGATATTATTATTGTATCTTTTTTTGTATATGAGGAAATAATGTCTCAGGTTAGATGTCTTGTTCAAATCACATATTTCATAGAACTCAGAAGACATTATTGAAGACAAAAGATTTTGTGACCTAGCCAAATGGGGACATAGAGAGGTTGCAGCAGTGCCCTTTACTCCAGAACTTCTCAGATCCTTTACCGAGCCAGACATGTGCAGTGGTGATGTCCAAGGCAGGGAGATACTGTGATACCTTTCTCTGCCCTCCTCCCGTGGACATCTTGAAGTACCAGTGTTCCCCAAAGCTTGTGGCTACACTTCATTTTCTCTCTATATCTGTGATTTACTAATAGTTACTGTGTGCCTTTGAGACAAGTGTATTCAAAGCTCAGCATTTTTATGCCAAAAGATTTGTCTCATGAACAGAATACACGTTTGTCTAGACTAGTCAGCTTGAGCAGAATCAAAGTAACCTGTCAAGTTATTAAAGGGTCAGTAGTGGTCAACAGAAAGTTACCCTCCACATTAGTCTCATTGGTGAGAGGATCAGGGTAAGGCCACACTGTCTGGAGCAGCAGCGCATCAGGGAACTAGGAAGTGCCCTGACGACTAAATATATAATACCAGCATGCCTGCTGCTTCTTAATGGGGGTTTTATTACCACCAGATACAAATATTTATCAGGATGGTCATTTTCATTCTTTATCCTATCACTAAAAGAAAATAAGAGATTAACAGTCCAATTACTTTGATGTTAGGAAAGTAATTCCCCTCTTCTGAGGAACTACTACTTCTGACAAAAAAGCCTCAGAACTTTTTTCGTCCATAAGACTGTTTCACCTTGTATTTCATGTTCATTACAACTTTATTGGTGACCTGTGTAAAGACTGACGACTTCAGGCAAGGGTCAGAGCGACCAGAGTCACACTGGAGAGCAGTGTCTTATAACTGTATAGAGGACCTTGAGTGGCCCCCGATTTGCTTCTGGAATAATTGAATTACTGAAGATTTGGTTGATCCTGCAGCCAGTGAGTGTGCTTTGGGGAATTTTAATTATAAGTAATTTGGTTTTGAGTGAGTATACTTAATTATGCAGTTGGAGATTGAGGAACTAATATGTATTTAGGGTCAGAGATGATACAAGAAGTTTATTTTTAATCTCTCAAAATTATTTTTGATATCCAAAAGAAAAAGGAAAAATGTTCCTTTTTTGTTCACTTGTAAAGTTTAGGATTGTAAATGTGTAACTGTACCTTTTGCAGCCTTTGGGAAACCTAACCAGGACAGCCCCAGAGTCACGGGGAAAGCTCCATGGAGATGCGGTCCTCGAGTGCAGCCCCCGCCCCTGCTCTCGGCTGGCTGGCTGGCTGGTCTCAGGACGCGGGGGCTAGGGACTCTGTTTCTCAGAAGTTTCCCCTGTGCTTTTTTTTGTGTGTGTGTGTACATTAAAGTTTGAGAGCCCTGGTTTGGACTTCAGTGAGAATTCCAGTGAATTTTCACTGGAAATAGAAGGTTGAAGCACGTTGTAGTACTAGTCCATTCATATCCCAGTTACTTATGGGAAATGACAACTCTGGTTTATTTTGGGGTTTACATTAATAGATTCACTTTAAGCAACAACTTAAACTATAAAATGTTTTTGGCTTCACGATTTGAACTAGAGATAATAAGAGTAGGATTCCTGTTGAGTTTTAATGGCTTCCATTCAGTAGGATGCTTTCACCTTCTTGAGAACAAAGAAAGCCAGACTACCAAGATCCTATAGTCTGCTTATTTAACTTTAGATTTGCTCCACTTTTCTTTTAGTGGTGTGGATCTGAAATTATATGTGTGAAGATCTATAATCTCCTTTTTCTCCTTTTGGGGAGAGTTGCATGTACACATAAAAACTAAATGCCTCAGAAAGAAGTAGGTGTTACTAGCCCCTACCAGCAAAACAATACCGACAGCTCCAGTTGCAGAATTGAGATAGAACGTGAGTTGACAGTTTGCCTTTTCTTAACCAAAGAAATGTATAACATGTTACCAAAAAGTGGCAGGCTCAGTGGCTAATATTTTTTCTCTTATTTTGTAACTAGGTAATTGAGGGGGGCTTAAATTTTCGAGATATGTTTTAAATGATAAGATGTAATTGAAAAGAAATGGTGGGTGCCCGTGCCTCCTTGGTGGTGGGAGCAACTTATCTTATAATTAGCTATTATTATTATTATCTTTAGCACTATGGAAACTTGGACTCGTGATTCCATTTCCTTTGGAGGTAGCTGTGTGATTATGCTTTCTGTACTGTTTTCAGGGATTATACTTTCATAGATTTTAGCCATTGTGATTTTTTTGGTAACAGATCATGAGTTAGCATTTCCCCTTGAATACAGGACTTGGGAGATTTCTATGTGGAGGACCTGAGTATATTGGTCTGTACGCACGCAAGGGATAAATAGATGACAGAGTCGTGGTTTCCAAATACTGG